TATAAAAGTGAAATAGAAGAGAGATAAATAGGAAAAAGGGAAAAGTTCAAATACTTCTCCAAATTCTCTGTTTCAAAAATATTTTCATCGATCTGCCAATTTGTTTTATTTATATTACTAGTTTCTCTTAATTCATTGAAAAGAAAGTATTGCGCTATTATCTGTTTCTTCTTTGTAAGAAATAGTCTTTTTTGTCTTTTACTGAGTACTATTTTGAAGATAAAAATATGCAGTGTATTAACTATTGTTACTCTGATTATATTATCAAATTTTATTATTTCATAAGATTCTTTTGTCTTTTTGAGACAGGGTCTCACTATGCAGTTCAGGCTGGCTTTGAGCTCATTTTGTAGCCCAGGCTGGTTTCAAACTCGCAACAAACAATCCTCCTGACTCAGCCTGGCAAGTGCTGGGATTACAACCATGAGCCACCAAGCCTGGCTATAAAAATCTTTTACAAAAAGAAAATAGACTAAAATCCCTACTGTCATGCGGGAACAGACAAAAAACCAAAAACCAAAAACCAAGCAAAGCATATATATTGGTTATAAGGACCAAGGTGAAAATAAGAGAAGGTCCCAATTGTAGAAAGGGCAAGAGAGTGACCAGAGAAAGCTCACGAAGTGACATTGCATTAAGTGACAAACTGAGGAAATTGGCCATGGCAAAGTGGAGAAAAAGTCTTCCAGGCAGGAAGAACCACTTCAAAGTGACCTCCGTGGCTGTGTATCTGGCAGGTTAGAGGGGCGGTGGGCAGGCCCGTGTGGCCACAGCACAGGGCAAAACAGTGCAAAATGAAGTTGGAGCGGCAGTGGTGACTCAGGCAACCAGGACTTCGCGGGTCATTGTGAGGAATTCACCAGGAGCAGAGGGATGACATGACTTACGGTTGTAATGGGATTGCTTTGGATGCTGTGTTGAGAGTACAGTGAGAAGCTGTTGTCGCAGGGCCCTGCGTCAGAGCAGCGGAGAAGACAGATTTTAGATCCACCTGAAAGAGCCACCAGGATTTGCTGACAGATTATCCAGCCAGAGAGAGAAGGCCACTTCCAGGAGTCTGTGAGCCACAGCAAGAGGGGTTCAAGGAGAGGGGGCTTGTATTTTGAGACACTGTTGGGAAACCAGGCCCTTGTTCTGTGGTTCAGCTAAAAGGGCAGCTGCCCGAGGGAGGCTAGAATAGGTGGAGAAGAGAAAACTGTGACTTATAAACACACGGTGGAGTTCTGTTACAGGCAGGGTGGAAAGGCCAGTAGTGGAGAAGGAAAAGGGGCACCAAAGAGGTGCCAGGTTTCTGCTCAAGGTTGGTCTCAGGGGACAAAGGGACACTAGGACCTGTCAGTGCAGACCACTCTTCAATCCGGGACTCTGACAGGATCCCTTTTACACTCGGAGCACAGCCATAGAGCTGGCTGCAACTCTGAGGTCACCCACGCTGCTCTCATTTTATCAATACAACTAGAAAATTAAAATGTTTTGCCTTACAGAGCCTCTCTAACTTGGCAAACTAGTACCGTGACTGCTTTGCTAGTCCCATTCTGGGCCTTATTCTGCTGTCGCACATTACGAATCCTACATTCCTATGAGCCCAGACTGCTTCTAACAGCCACACTCCACACAAAGCATTCCCCTTCTCGATGTCATTTCAATTCTTTGAATTACAGCACAGAGAAAGCCTCAATGAGGTGCTCTCTTAAAGCCCTATAACTTGCCTTTTTTTTTTAATCAGGGAGGGTGACTTTTAGAATCAACACTGCAGGCAGCATCCCCAGCAGCAAAGCACACCAACTATGAGGACTCCAAATCCAAATTCTACACTCCAGAAACTTTGGATTTATATCTAAAACTTCCAAGACCGGGCTGGCAAGATAGCTCAGCAGACTAAGTGCTTATTTAGGCAAAAGCAGCGACCAGTTTTCAATCCCAGGGCACCGCATTCCAAACTGGCCCCGCCCCTGGATGCACTGACCCAGCCACCAAGACCGGGAGTGGTGGCACACGCCTGTAATCCCAGCACTGGAGAGGCTGAAACAGAAGGATCACTAGGAGTCCAAGCTGCATAGTGAGAGCCTGTACCAAATACATTAAACACACACACACACACACACACACACACACACACACACCCCTTCCAAGACTTCTGGAAATTTTTATTAAGGAGCACAGAACTTGCAGCTATAATTTTTCAGATGTTGGCTCTAATAATATTAATACTGTATTATATAATAGAGTTTTTTCCCCTTGCAGTTATTAATTTTAAGTAAAAAATGGTAAATTAGGGGACTTGTCATTTTTTTATTAATTTAGCATGAATATCTCATTTAGAGGAGAAGAGAAAGCATGACCCTGTGGAGACCTCACAGTTCTCTAGGTCTTTATTTTTCTCGTGTGAGAAATGAAGAAATTGGACTGTTTGGTTTGTTCTTGTTTCCTTTCGTGCTGGGGCTTGAACCCAGGGCTTTCACCCTGAGCTGCATTCTCAGCCCTTCTTTATTTTTTATCTCAAGACACTATCTTATTAAAGTTACTATGTTGCTCAGGCTGGGCTCCAACTTGCAATCCTCCTGCTTCAGCCCAAGAGTGCTGGGCTTACAGGGCTGGATTATTTGGTTTTCGAGTCTTTCAGCCCTAAAGTTTTGTGCCATACAGGTAGAAGGAAACATGCAAAATAAGAAGCTACCCTAGTAGGAGAATAGGCACATAGGTTATTATTTTTCTTTTAAACATCTTGTTTCATTTAAAAGTTATTAAGGAAAGCATTGAAGGAGGCTGAGGATGGAGGAGCACAAATTCGAGTCCTGCTTGGGCAATTTTTTGAGGCCCTGTCTCCGAATGAAAGCTAAAACGGGCAAGGGATAGCGCTCAGTGGTAAGTCACCCCTGAATTCAAACCCCAGAATAGAAAAAGTTGTTAGAGAAAATATAAAATACCAATACTATATAAATCATTAGCCCCCCCAAAAAAATCATTAGCCTAAAAACAAACTTTCATGACAAACTGTTACTTTCAAAAAGGAAAGTTCTTTATGCTTTGGACTTCCTGTTATAAGAAGCATGTAAAATTTAAAAGGACAAACTAACCAAGAAATAATCTCTCTCTCTCTCTCTCTCTCTCTCTCTCTCTCTCTCTCTCTCTCTCTCTGCTGCTATAAGAACATAAACTTAATCTAAGTAAGAAGTTAAGTGAGGGCTGGCCAAATAGCTCAGAGGATTAAAGCACCTTCTTAGGCAGACGCAGGGGTCAGGAGTTTGATCCCTGGGCCTGCTGTGCCAGCCCCGCCCATAGTACGCTGAGATGGCAATTGAGACTGGGTGTGGTGGCACGCACCTGTAATCCCAGCACTTAGGAGGCTGTAAACAGGAGGATCACTAAGAGTCCGATGTATGCAGGGAGATCCTGTACACCCTTTACACCTTGTCCTAAATTAAAAAAAAAAAAAAAGAAAGAAAAAGTTAATGATCACGTTAAAATCTGTAGCTCATAAAATCTTCAGGGTTTTGCTCTTAAAATGTGGGAGCGTCCCTTGGGTAAAAACTTTAGTTCATTCCTATGAAACAAGGGTTTGGGAAGTTTACACAGCTCTGAAAATATAATTGTTTCCTATTAGCAACTAATCTGGGTTCCTGAACTGTAATGTCTGGCGAATCCGCCCATAAATAATGAAGAAGTATCACAACTCTGGTCAAGAAGAGACAAATGCAGGGATCCAGCACCCTAAGCTTTGCTCTTATTCTTATATCCTTCCTCCGGGTTGGGTGGTCCCCAAAAGTCCATGATGGAAGACAAGCCATAGAGTGGCACTACGGTGAGGAGGTGGAGCTTACTGGGAGACTGGTGGGCCATTGTGAGGGTGCCCTGGAGAGGAATTTGGGGTTCTCCTCCTGCACACTCTTTTTCTCAGCTTTCTGGCTGGCAATGCCAGCGCTGGCTCCTACACAGACGCTTACCATTACCATTACCTTGCCAGCGCGGAGACAAGGCAGGTGCCTCGTCCTGGAATCTCAAACCATGTGCAGAAAGTAAACCTGTAACAAAGGACACAAGGCAGAAAGAGGGTTTTGTGAGGGCAACAAGGTTTAGGATTTAGTACCTGGGTACAGGCAGCTGGAGGGCAGAGAGACCATCCATCCACAACAAAGAGAAGCAGTTTTCTTTATAGGGCTTGAAGAAGGCAAGGGGCATTAGCTAAGAAGGTCTTAGCAGGCATCAGTGGTCAAAGTCCTCAGAGTGTCCAAGGTAAATGCTGGGATGTTATCAGATATCCTGGGGCTTGGAAGATTTCACGGCTCCACTTTATCTCTTTTTTTAATGACATCCTGTGTTTGCCTGGGGGAACAGCACGAATGTCAAGCTGGGTATTCTCAGAGACAGTGTCCTGCTGACAGATGGGTTGAGTGCTGGGAAAGTCCTGCCTGGGTGAAGCCTGAAAAAGTCTTTTCTCTTTTTTTTTTTTGCAGAACCGGGGGTTGAACTCAGGCCCTTGCGCTTGCCAGGAAGTCTTTTCTCTTTACAATTGAGTTGTTTTGGTTATTCCATAGGAGTAATCAAAGGTGACTAGAAACTTCTCTTCCTTCTAAAACTAGGCCTTCAGCCACTTTGCTTTTTGTTTGTTTGTTTTTTGGGGTACTGGGCATCGGATCAGGACCTCATGCTTGCCAGTCGGAACTTATGCCACTGAGCTGTCTCCCCACCCCCATGTTTTAAGTAATAAGCAAATTTTATTTGGCTGACAGATTTTTGGTTGTTTTAAGAACTCAATAAAATTTTGTCTAGGTCTGTCCTGAGCTCTCCACATGAACACCTGCCTTAGTTCTGCAGCACAAGGGAGCAAGGAGGCTGCAGAAACCCCGTGGTACCGAGTCTGCCTGTGGGAGCAGCACACTGTTTCTCTTGCGCTGGGCCACTCCATGCTAATGCTGAGGTACCCTGCAGAGGTGATTTTCAGGGTACCAAATGGAAACGGATATAAACGATTCTTTAGTGTGTGGGATAGACCCAGGTCTAGTTTTAGTTTTTGGCACGTGGAGAGCCAGTTTTTCCAGCACCATCTGTTAAAGAGGATATCTTTCTTCCATAAAGATTCTTGTCTTCAACAGCGGTCCAGTAGCCTCTTAACACTATTATGTCTCACTCCAGGCTGGGACCTGCGCTCTTCCTCGGTCTTTCTGCTCCCTGCCCCAAGTGCCCTACTTTGATTTCATGCGTTGTGGGAATTTCCTCTGTATCACCTCCTCCATCTCTGGATGACTGCTGTGTGGAAGCTCTTCTGATCCTTTTCTCTGGGAAATAACCTTTCCCCTTAGGGTACAACCAACAAGATTTATGGGGAAGGAGAAATGAAAAATACATCCACTTGAAATATTTGTGGGAGAGAAATTTGAAGTGGAATTTATTTTAATTATTCTCCTGTAAGGAATACTTGAATCATAGAGATAGATTTATTTATTTATTTAGTATGTATTTAATACAGGGTCTACAGGGTCTCACTATATAGATTGGACTCATAGTGAGCCTCCTATTTTCAGCCTCCCAAGTGCTGGGATTACAGGTGCACACCACCATGCCCAGCACCTGGAATTCATTTTAGAAAGCCAGGCATGATAGCCCACACCTGTAATCCCAGCACTCTGGGTGGCTGAAGCAGGAGGATGGCAAATTTAAACCTTGGTCTAAGCAACTTAGTGACTTAGCAAAACCCTGTCTCAAAATAAAAATAAATAAATAAATATAAAAAGGACTAGGATGGAGCTCAGTGCAAGGCTCTGAGTTCTACCCCTAGTACCCATCCTCCTTTGGTAGAACCAGAAGGCAAGATGAAGCAAGAAAATGCAAACCATCAGTCCACATGGCAAGTAAGCATCTCCTTTTCTTCTTGCTGCTACACATAATTGACAGAAAATAACATAGAAAGACTATGCTGATAATTATTATGAGAACACAGGGCGGGCCATCTACAGGAAGTGACATCACTAAATGTCTGGAAGATGAAGAGCAATAGAATTGTGGTGGAGAGGGCAAGAGAGGAAGATGGAACAGGACTAAGGAGGCCACAGCCTAAAATCCGCAGGAAAGCACTTGCAGCCAGAGGCTTAGCAAGGGCCAGGACTCACGTGTATCTGGTTTAATTGGGGACAATAGGAAAGAAATACGGAGCTGAAGATTGGCATTCATTCAAAGTCGAACCTCCACCCGTCTCTAGAACTCCAGGTAGCTGAATGCTTCTTTGCAAACCAGAACATTTTTATGTTTTGTTCCAGAGAAATCGAATGAGCCGATACCAAAACGCTCAGCATTCTAACATCTGTAGGGGAAGCCCCACAACAAAAGAACCAACTCATCTCACATGGAAGCCCCCCTCCCCCCAGCATGCCTGCCTCCTAGCCAGCACCCTCAGGGGAAGCGGGTGTCTAACATGTCACTCTTAAATACAAAAGTACAACTAAGAAGTCCCTGAAATTTTAGGAAAAAAAATTCCTGTGACTCATAGTGAAGCACACAGAGAAACAGACTCCAAAGAAAACCCATAATTGGGAGTATAGATGGGGCCTGCGAGCGACGATGCTGTTGCCATCAACAGATTTGAGAGACAACCCTGCATGCACAAAACAACGACCAGATGCCGAGGAAAACATTCAGGGAACAAAGAGTTCTCGGAAATGAAGGATAGGAGTTGCCAAAAAAGAAAACATTCAGAATAAAGTTAGGAGGATAAAGCTGAACAAATCGCACAGAAAACAAGAAGATTGAGATGGAAAATCTGAAGAGAAAGATAAGAGAAAAAGTTTTATACAAGGGACCCAATAAAGATGAATTCCAAGAAAAGACAGAAAATGCAGAGGCTATCCTCAAAAATCAGTATGAGGGTTTTTTTTT